CTAGCTGTAAGCAGTGAGGAATTCTTGGCAAATATACCTGAATTCTAGAGAAAGAAGAGACACTAGGTGAGGGCTGGTCTCTCATAATGTCACTGTGGTAGCTGCTTTATTGTCAGGGTGGTCCCCACATGACCACAAAGTGGATTCCAGTTTTTCTGTTTCTCTTGCCATTGAACTTAGGACCAGTGTGGGTGCATGTGCCCATCTCTGAACAGATATATGGGAAGGTAGATCATGTTTTGTTGACTTAGTGAGTCTAGGCTGGGACTAAAGATGGGTTCAGTCCCATCTAAAATTGTATGGCTTCAGAAGTACAGGGCCTTATTAGACAGAGGGAGATGGGTCTGTAGAGGCCACCAATAATTACCACTAGGTTGGTTTTAGGTTCTTCAAGCATAGCGTCCATTTTATTAGTCTATCGCAGTATCTCTCACACTGGGCCGAATACTTCTTTGTTGCCGGTACTGTCTTGTATAGGATTTTTAATAGCATTCCTGGCCTCCACCCACTAAGTGCCAATACTTGATGACAACTTGTTATACGTTTATAAAACATGCCCAGGAAATAGAAATGAAATGATGGTGCTTATTAATGAAATGGAAAATGTAACATTTTCTTTCTTTTTTATAATATTTTTATTGACACATTATTCTATAGCATTTTCTTTCTGAGCATTATTCTGGAGCATTTTCTTTATGAGCATGTGTCTCTACACCCTACTGTAGAAAGTAAAAGCCTAACATGTTGGTGTCCAGTCCAGTCCAACTCATCAGTCTTGACAGCCATGTGATGCTACACTGTCTTTCTTGGATGTTAAATGCAACTCATCCTGTTGGTGAGCACTGGCTACTAGGGTCAGCTGATACTAAGTAACCCATTTTAAATAGTGTCCACCCACCAGAGCTAGACGCTTCCTCAAGACAGATGTGTCAGGGGTGTCAGGATCTGCCCCAACTGCTCATGGCACTCTGGTCTCTGCAGTGTTGGAAGGAGCTTTTCCTGTCACCACCCCTACCCTTTCTCCATCTTAGAGATCTTGTCTGTGGAGGGAGGGAGTGTGTAAGACCAAGGAAGGGTGTCTTGGCCCCTGGCCAGCAGCTTTCTGCAGTGGGGAGGCAGCTTCATTTCCCCGGAGCAGCAGGATGTGAAGGGCTGATGGAGTGTGCTTGGGAAAGCCATGGGGAGGCTTCCTACCACATTACCCATCTTGGAATCCCTGGTTGATACAAACATTTACCGCATTTGGCTGCTCGCCCAGAAGTTGGGGTCCACCAGAGGCACTTCAGAAGAAAGACGCGGCAGCCTTACTTCCAAAGAGTCCGTCCTGGGACACTGTGCAGCACAGCTCTGCTCTCGACATGCGTGAGGTCCTCATGCAGTCAGAAATAAGTCGCCTTGGATCCTGAAGGGCAGGAGCCTCAGAAAGGTCATCCTCAAAAGGTCACCACCTCCCTGTCACTAGGGGAATTGGCTATCTGGACAAACAGAGCTTCCTGCCAGGTCATCCTTGATCGATGGCCCTCAAAGAGGTTGCCGCCTCACTGTCAGTAGGGTGTTGCTTTTTGGACAGACACAGCTTCCTGCCCTGATCGATGGCATAGTTTTGGATGAAAGTTGACCAGAGTAATGAGGGCAGCTGATTTGGGGACAAAGCAGAAATGATTAACCTGTGTCATATTTGATCTTGTTGACTTTCTGATGAAAGGATTACCCCAGATGTTCTGTTTCTTCAATGACAGCCATATTATAGAGTCCTATGTTTATTTTACTCTCTTCATTTTCAAGTGTTTTCAGATGTTATAGTTTTGGAGCACATGGTTAATCATAGTAAATAAGAATAATTTATGAGGGCAAGTCAAAAAGTATTGATACAGGATCTTTATTAAACAAAAATAATCAAAATGTGAAGCTGTTGTTTCTAACATAATCCTTTATCTAGGTTTGTACACTTCTAAAGGTAGTGTTTCCATCTCTGACCATTCCCCAAAGACTTCTGCCTTCTTCTATTTGTAACACATCAAAGCAAAGTTGGAGCGTCCTTGAGAAACTCAAATTGTGTTCCTTTAAAGTGTTTTTGTAGTTTTGGGGAACAAAAAGAAGTCTTAAGAGGCAAGGTCAGAGCTGTAGGGTTGGTGGGGGAAGATGGCCTTAGGAAATTCATGTAGGACAGCCCTGGCTGCCCTGGGAGAATGAGCAGGCACAGTGTTGTGATGGAGAAAAAAATTCCTTGGCTCAACTTACCAGTCCTTATCTCACCAATGCAGTTTTCAATTTTCTCCTGTGTGATTTAAAGAAAATTTTCAGGATTACCTCTTTGGAGACCCAATAAAAACCATTGCTATTAAAAAAAATTGCTACAACCCTGAATTGGGCTGGCCCTGCAGATCTCCCTGAAAGTCATTGCTTTGGTTGGGCCTTCTATTTCTGAAGACCTCCTACAAGACAAAGACAGCTTATTGCCCAGAGAACGTGTCTGCAGTCATGCACTGTCACCAGAGTCATGCTCAAGCACATTTTGTGTGGAGCAGACCCCGGTGGGTGTGACCGGGACCCAGCAGCAATACTTTTTGACTTACCCTTGTATTTTGTGTAAATAGGTACAGGTAAAAACACTTTTTGTAGTTTTAATTATTTTGGGGGGAACATTCCCAACATGTAATTTCCTTTAGATATGTTTTAACACTTAGAAGAAATTGTGCATACTAATCCTAAATTAGGTGTGGTGTCTCTCTCTCTCTCTCTCTCTCTCTCTCTCTCTCTCTCTCTCTCTAAATTGTTTCGTTTTGGTTTTTCTCAACACATTAGAGTTATAATGACCTGGCTGTCTGGGCAATGATTTGATAGTTAAGTGATGGGTGTTCAAGTCCATTGTTGGTTTCCCATTTTTCTCCTGTCTGATTCTGACCCTGGCCTACTTCCTTGCTTTGTAATGGATGGGCTATGGCTCACCACTCTGGAAACCTGTGATAAATAACCAGGTTAGGAGGAATTGTCACCAGGCGTTGAAATCAGGCTTCCCTTTCACGTAGCTGTGAGTTGGAGCTGACTTACTGGCACCTGACAAAAGCAACACCACCAACAAATGAAATAGCTCTCGAAGGGCCATTTTCCTCTCCTCTCCTTACCCTTACAGTCTTTTGTTCTGAGATCCGTGTTTCTCAGTGCAAATAAAAGCTGAATCATAGACCCTACTTCACAGGACAACTGGAAGTTTAAGTGCTTGTCATGCTGTACTCACTCAGTAAATGACAGTAATGGCTGTTATTTAGCTCAGCAGCTTCCAGTGCTTAGTTAGCGGGACTCTACGGGCTTCTGATTTTAAAGTCCTGCTAGGACTGTTCCCTCATTCACTGCGTCAAGGTCCGTGAGGTGCTAGGTTGGCACCTAGATTTCAATGCGTAACTTCTGGTAGAGAAGAGAACCCCAAACTCAATGCCATCGAGTTACGCTAATTCTGACTCATAGCGACCTTCCGGAGCATGGTAGAACTGTCCCTGTACATTTCTGAGATCATGACTCTTTACAGTAGAAAGCTTCATCTTTTCTCCCGTGGAGTGGCTGGTGGTTTTGAACTCCCAGCCTTAGCAGCCCAACACAACCACAATGCCACCAAGGCTCCTTGAAGACAAGCAAGCTTAAATATTCTGTGTGCACTGGGCCCTGCTTCCTCCTTGTGACTGCTGTCCTGTTGTGGGCCCTGTGCTCCACCACGGTATGCTTGGAAGCTGCCCTCCTTCCCTAGCAAGCGAGCACTCCCTCTAGTGCAAGCGACAGCTGGTAGATTCCAAGCAAGATGCAATCAACGTATGCTCCCAGAAAGCCTTACTGGACGGTGTGAGTGCGGTTAAATAAAATCTCACTGATAAGAGTGGAGAGAGATTTTATAGTAGTGAAATGCTTAAATTGCCGAATATACTTTATTTCAATTATAGCGTAAGTATTGACTGTATGCATTCTTGCCAAGGAGGGCAAGGAAAGGTCATTGGGAAGCCAGGGTTTGAGTCGAGGCCAGCGTCTTGAGCAGGCAATTGACAACAGCAATTCTTGCTAAGGAGTCGCTCTGGAAGTTTATTTGATTGAACAACAAAATGCATGGATAGTGTGCTGTGACTTGCCTAAAGATTGAAGTGAGGCTGTGGGGAAGGAATATTTAGATATCTCCTAAGCTGTTCTCCTTGAACTCCCAATGGCAGAATCCCATAGCTTAGCAAATAGTGCTTGTGGACCTGAGGCCGGGCATAAGGGGCTACGTCAGACACGGGTCCTGACCTCCAGGAACTCACTGTGCAGCAGCCTTTTCCAAAGAGGAGAGCCTGTATCACCAGCGGCCTGGCGAGGGTTTCAGATGATGCATGGCATTGCTGGTTAGGACTAGCCATCACACATGTAATTTCCTACATGCTGTTGCCCAGGGAAAGATGGAAGTGGGTATTCCAGAATAAAGAAAGGAACTGCTTAAAAGAAAATATTTGAATAGAAATGTTCAACAACGTGAAAAGGGTTCAAATGAGTGACATTGGGGAACTAGTCTCTGCCAGGAATGGGGCTGCAAAGTTGACCCCTTCTGACGGAGAGAGCTCAAGAACTTTAGCAATGAAAGTAGGCTTTCGCTTAATGTTTAATCAAGTCGAAGTTAATCAGATTTTAATAAAAATCTATAATTTTGCCAACATTGAATTTCAAAGGAGTAGCACTACTTGAATATTTTGTGTGTGCAAAGATGTGTTTTCTAGAATATTTATCCCAATAGGATAGTGAAATTAGAGCAATGACATACATGTCCAACAATGGGAAATTGTTTAAAACATTATACAGCAATACAAAATGATGTGCAACTATTACATATGGTCATTTTCTCTTTATTTGATGAGGTTTCAACTATTTTTCAACCTCCCTGTATGAACGCATACACATTTATAGAAGTAGAGAACCGTTCGTGTTTCATTTATGTAGGAAATTATGTTGCTCTTCTGACAGCTCTGTGACTTCTTTTCTTCCAGGTGTGGGGGCACAGTTGGTGCTATTTTCACATGTCCACTAGAAGTCATTAAGACACGGTTACAATCTTCACGACTGGCCCTGGGGACAGTCTACTATCCTCAGGTTCATCTGGGGACCATTAGCGGAGCTGGAGTGGTGAGACCAACGTCTGTGACACCTGGGCTCTTCCAGGTTCTGAAGTAAGTTCACTTATGCTGCAGCTGCCCCACTCCCCACCGCCCTGTACTAAACGTTTGTGTAGCGCATGCATCGGATAGGCGGCTCTGTTGTAGACTCTCTGAGTATCCAGACTTCTGAATGAGATTTCTTTACCAATGCGTCTGAACTCTGACCTTGCCCTCTTAGCAAGCAGCATGTGATCATCATCCAGACAGTTAAAGTGAACTCACTGAGGTGGCGGGAAGTCCCGGGTTCACTGGTTGCATCAATTGTTACCTTTGTCCAAAATCTTTTCCTAGCAAGCTATGGATCATTTTATTCTACTGCAGTAAAACTTAAATTTTTTTTATATCACACATGACAGGTTGTGACTATCTTAAGAGGAAGTAATAGGGAAATAAAATGTTTTTATTTTTATGCCTTTTTCTTGGGAATAAGTGTATAGTAGAGTTGCCACATAATACAATTTGTTATTTAGTAACTTTTGCATTTAAAAGATTGGTTTCATGCTTAGGTTACCTGACCATTGTACTATTTTACTGCATTAAAAGTAACGTGCTTACAACATAGTTTAGATACTCATAAGTTGCATTGGCTTATCAGTTGCTCTGCTTAAATCAGAAATTAAGGTACGTACTTTTCCATGTCTGACTTTTTAAAAGGCTTGGGGCTTTGTCCTTTCAGAGAGACCCTCAGTGGCTATTCATGAACACATGCTTTAGCTGAACGTGATACTCAGATCTTTGAAACTTCCCATTTGAGATTTCTTGACGTTTAATAGCTTTCAAGTAAAAGCATGAATGTTTTTATATTCAACAAAGACACATTGCCCTTTCCCCAGTAGATGTTTAGTTGGGAACCATTTGAGAAAGATGAAGTAAGCGGAGAAATGCTCTGTTGGAGTAATCACCACAGTTTGCCAGAGTTCAGTCGTGTTTTAGATAAGGGAGAATGACTTGGAAAGCGCGTCGTTTATTTTTAGGTACTTTTGTTTGTAAAATCTACCTCTGTCTCTCAGGAGTCCTTGCCAAAGGTGTGTGTGGGCACATCTGAGTGGGTTACGCAAAGACAGGGCCAACTGCTGGGGCCAGGGTCTTGAGTGAAAGCATCTGAAACTCCGAGTGGGGAGCTGCTCCCCAAGCCTCAGAGAATGTGCTTTCTAATTTAACCCGCGATGGGGAGTGAAGACACAGAAGGCAGAGCCGTAGGATGAAACCCAGGGAAAACAGAAATCGAGAACTGTGGAGGCACCCTTTGGTCTCAGGAAGGAGCCCTCCATCCCCACGTCCTCCAGGGCAGGGCTGTGAGGAACACCCATGTGTTGATGTGCCCTTTGACACAGTTAGCCCTCGGTGCTCCCTAAGATGCACCTTTTGTCTGAAGAACAGAGTGCTTTGCCCAGAGTGAAAGGAAGACAGGTAATTTGCCAACTAACATTTTAAGAGAAACTTCCTCTTACATGCTTGCCAAATAACTCATGACTCATGAATTCCTGTTTACTGTAACTGGAAACTGTTGCCCCAAAGTTGTGGGTGTCAACGGGGCCCAGCCACTAAGGTAAATAGGAGTGTTTCTATAGTGCAAGTTTTTTAAGGTTCTTATTTCATAGAGATGCCCAGCATCTCGATGTCTCTGTCGCCAGGACACACCTCTGTGTGTATTCCTAAGATTCTCCAGTCCACATCAGCTATTTAATAGCTTCCAAATGGGGGTGGGGGGGCACTATTATGTAATATGGGAGCCCTGGTACTGCATTTGTCTATTGCTCAGAAAGATTTACAGCACCTCGGAAAGTGACCAGCAGAAGTCTGCTAGAAACTAGGCTAGTCTCTGCACCTCTCAAATGGAAGCCGCAGACTCAGACTTCTAGAAGCGATTCTTCCTACTCACTGGCTGCAGCTTGTGAACCCTTGGTAAATGATAAATTGTTATTATTTTCATATCTTATATGTCGATCATTGTGATCGGTTCCCCCTTTCTCTTCTCCCCCCACCTTCCCCTGCCCTCATGGTCTCACTACTCATTACTGTTCCTGAGGGGCTTATCTGTCCTGGATTCCAGTATGTTGCGAGCTCTTTTTTATATCAATGTACCTGCTCCGGTCTAGCCAGATTTGTAAGGTAGAACTGGAGTCATGATGGGGGGGTGGGGGTTGTGAGGGAAGCATTTAAAAGAACTAGAGGAATGTTGTGTGTTTCCTTGATTCTGTACTGTACCCTGAAGGCCTTCCTTGTCTTAAGTAAAGAATTCCATCTTGGTTCTTATTTCTCTCAAATCCTTCAGCAAATTCTTAGCAATCTTGCTTTCAGATTCTGACTCCTCTTCTCTGCATTCTCCACTGCCCTTCTGGTTGAAGCCACTGTCCCTCTATCCTCTGGTAGCTCATTAGCTTCCTGATTGGTCTTCTGGCTCCAGCCCTTGCTGCCCTCACCATCCTCTCCACAAGCAGGCAGTCCGCTGCTCACTTCCCTGTAGGGATTACCATCTCCCTCTGAGGAAGCCAAAGCTCTTACTCTGGGCACCCAGGTTCCACACAAGGGCCCTTCCCTCCCGTGACTTCTCTGACTTCATTGCCAGTGACTCTTCCCCTCACCCAGCTCCTCCTAGCTGAGAACATTTTCTGCTCCGGGCCTTTGTGCTCCCTTGCACGTGACGTCATCACCCCACTTGTGACTGTTGCCGGAAGGCCAGGGAGCAGCTGCTATTTACCACTGAACCTTCCCTCTACTTGAATGGTTCTCCTTAGCACTTACCTCCATCCAACAGACGTTGTACTTTATGGACTTTTTCTTCCACTGGAATTGAACTTCCTCAGAGGTAGGGATTTGGATTCCAAAGTATTCCCTGAGGACCTAGAATGCAGCCTGTCTCCCATTAGGCATTCAGTGTGTGCTGAAGGACTAGATCTTGAGATATTAGGAAGTTCATGCATATAAAAGGCTTCATGTACTTATAAATAATAACGATTAGCTGTTATTGTAATATGATTTTAATATGTACCTTCTGTACTTTTAATCATAAAATTTAGAACTTTTTAAAAATAATTTTTGGGGGGGCTATTACAGCTCTTATCACAATCCATACATACATCCATTGTGTCAAGCACATTTGTACACTTGTTGCCATCATCACTTTCAAAACATGGGAAGGGGTTATATGTAGATTATGTGATCAGTTCCTAATTTCTGCCCCCACCTTCGCATTACCCTCCTGGTACTACTCTCATTATTGGTCCTGAGGGGTTTACCTGTCCTGGATTCCCTGTGTTGTGCGCTCTCACCTGTACCAGTGTACATGCTCTTGTCTAGCTGGATTTCTTAGGTAAAATTGAGGTCGTGACAGTGGCGGGAGGAGGGAGGAAGTACTAAAGAACTAGAGGAAAGTTGTGTGCTTCATCAGTGCTATCCTGCACCCTGACTGGCTCCTCTCTTCCTCGTGACCCTTCTGTGAGGGCACGTTTGTGCAGAATCTGAATAGAGACCACGAGGCTGTCATTCCAGCAGGAAAAGGAAATCTGCACAGTTCCATCAGGGTTTTGCCCTTTCACCATCCTCATTCCATCTGTACGCTGGGCAGGTGACCAGAGTGTGGACTGTACGATGAAGAACTTGGCATCAGGATTGGAGGAAGGCTTAACCTGAGATATGCAGATGACACCACCTTGTTTGCTGAAAGCAAGGAACACTTGAAGAACTTGCTGGTGAAGATCAAAAATTGCAACTTTCAGCATGGATTGCAACTCAGTGTACAGAGAGCTAATATCCTCAGAACTGGGCTCATATACAGCATTGTAATATACAGCAAAGATGGAGATTGTCAAGGATTTAATTTTGTATATATATATATTTGTTGCTCATGGAAACAGCCATCCAGAAATCAAGTCATATATAGCATTGGGCAACTCTGCTATATAAAACCTCTTTAAACAGTTAAAGAGCAAAGATGTCATTTTGAGGACTAAAGTGTGCCAGACCTGAACCATGGCATTTTCAGCTGCCTCGTGTATGTGAAAAGTAGACTCTGAATAAAGAATAGGAAGTGTTGCATTTGAATTATGAGGTTGGTGGAGAATATTGCAAGTACTGTGGACCACCAGAAGAACAAACAGATGCTGGGTTGAAACCTAAATGCCAGTGGGTAGTTAAAAATGTTGATCTTGACGTAGCATACTAGCATGTTCAGATGGGACGTTTGTCTTAGACTTCTGTACCATGTGCATATTATGTCCTGTGTTCCAGTGAAGTGTTCCAAACAAGACTCTTCTGCATTTTTCCCTAAATGAAGGTTTGCGTGGCTGTGGGAAAATTTGTCTAGTCTTTACAGGCTTTATTTTGAAGCTAAGTGTACCATTTATAGTAGGAACTTGATTGTTCCAGAAACGTTTTGTAAACATGCACTAGGGTAGAAGTTTGGGTTATGTAACAGAGACTTGACTCTTTGCCAATGTTACTGTGCATAACTGTGAGGACTGTCTCTCTGCAGTTCTTGAAAGGCCCAAGTCACTTGAGGACATGTGTTCCCCACTGCATTATGGATGAGCGGCTTTGTGCTTCCTGGAGCCAGAGACTTCCTTCATTGTGTTAAGTGGCTCCTGGCCTGCACAGCTTATGGGGATGGTGACCACAGAAAGCTAAATACTTGGCGTTTGGACTTTTTTTTATTATACACTATGAGCTATATGTCACTGTAAGGTGTGATTTGAGAAATGTTTTTGTAGAGAGTTCAGCTTTTTCTAACACACTGCTGATTATAGAAAGATAGTAAAAAGTAGCTAAAATAAAAAATATTACATTCGCACCATCTCTAGAAAAGGCCAAATGGCTTATTTTCGGACCACTGTGAAAATTAACTGAAACTCCTTGGATTCATTCAGACATGTTTTATGTGCATTGTTTACCCCAACCAGCCCTTGTGGGCTAAAATAGTATTGTTATAGCCTATGGCAAGCTTTTTAAAGAAAGATTTGAAATAAAATGCAAGAATGAAGGGTGGTACGGATGACTTGTTTAGACTCTTTCTTTAGAGTCCACAGTTTTGAATGTTTAGCCACATTTGTGCTTTCACTTGTCCTCTGTTTATGTACTTTTTTTTTTTTTAACTATTTCGGACTAAGTTATATGTATCATGTCCCTTTTCCCCTTGATACCTGTAATCCCTATGCCTACAATGTACCTATTCAAAAAGTGCCATTCAGTGGTTTCTACGTCTAATCACAAAGCTGAGCAATCACCACTACAATCTAATTTGAGAACATTTTCATTCTCCTTAAGAGACCCTGATCCATTAGCGATCAGTCCCATCCTTGCGCGCCCGCCCCCCACACACACACACCCCGTTGGCAGCCTGGGTCTGCTTCCTGTCTCAGTCATTTGTCTGTTCTGGAAAGTCAGTCTAAATGTAACATGTGCTCTGTGGCCCTCGGTGACTGGCTGCTTACACTCAGCATGCTTGCAAAGTTCCAGCTGTGTCATCCGTTAAAGTACCTGAAACTTTAAACAACTTTAAACAAAACTCATTCCAATCCATAAAAGTTATTAGAAGCATCAGGAATTTCTATTCCTGCTCTCTACGTAGGGCTACATTTTAATGGTAAAGATCTAGAAGAGTTGTTAGGTGCCATCCGGTCGGTTGCGACTCATAGTGCTCCTGTGTGGAGCGGAACCAAAGACCTCCCTGTCCTGGGCCATCCTCACAGTTGTTCAATGTACGAGCCCATTGTCGCAGCATCTTATCGAGGGTCTTCCTCTTGATCACTGCCTCCCGACTTTACCAAGCATGATGTCTTTTTTTCAGGGACTGGTCTTTCCCGTCCCTCTAGAAGAGAGGAGAATTGTGGATTAGGAATCAATTCAAAAGACAGACCATCCAAAGAAATCTCCAAGCCTGTTTCTTGGTGAATCTTTGCATTGACCCCCACTGCCAGACGTTCATGCTTCCTCAGCTCTGCCTCCCAATTCTGAAAATGGGGCTCCTGGGGGCAGTGGGCCAGCTTCTGGAGCTTCCGACTGTCGGATACTCTAGGACAGGCGTCCTCAAGCTACAGCCCGTGGGCCACATGTGGCCCGCTGAGGACATTCATCCGGCCCGCTGGGTGTTTTTGCCCCGTTTTTTACTTCAAAATAAGATATGTGCAGTGTGCATAGGAATTTGTTCATGGGTTGTTGTTTTTTAACTATAGTCCGGCCCTCCAACAGGTCTGAGGGACAGTAAACTGGCCCCCTGTTTAAAAAGCGTGAGGACCCCTGCTCTAGGAGCACATGTTCTCCGTGAACAAGAGCACTCCCTTTCTATATTGAGCACATAAAACGAAAAGCCAGGCCCCTGCAATGAGGAAACTTGTCAGAGAAGACAGACTCATATTTTCCCCTAATAGAAAGCAATAGAAGAGTAGTCAGACTGCACACTGTCAACGGTGGAAAACCCTGCAGGACTTGGAGAAGCAAAAAAGGCTCCCCCAAGTTCCAGCTCTCACAGGTTGCACTGTATTACAAACTGGCAAGAGTTTGAGGTCTTACAAATTTTATCTTCTTAAGAAACTAATGTAAAAGCTGACTCTTTGTTTCCATACGCTTTGTCTAAGAGGTTTGAGAGATAAATCTTTTCTTATTATTCAGATCCATCTTGGAGAAGGAAGGACCAAAGTCACTTTTCAGAGGCTTGGGTCCAAATTTGGTTGGAGTGGCACCATCAAGGTAAGCATTATGCTCTTCAGCTGACTTAAACCAACACTCTGTATGGTGCTGAGCCATTTCATGTGAGGGGGATGCTGGGATGAAAGATTGGGATTTGCCTAAATATGTTCAACATCATCAGATAGCAGTGCTAACTAGAATTACTGTGCTAGAGTGGAAAGTGCTGCTGGTGGGGGTTCTGGACAAGCCACTTGGGATTTCTTTGTCCTTTCAACAACAACAAAACCCTGATATTTAACGTTTTTGAAAAACAGTCACGGCATTATCTTTGATATGAGAACTAGACTTCAACTTTAAATAATACTTATTCCAATCCAGAAGAGTTATTAGAAGCATATGGAATTTCTATTCCTGCTCTCTCTATGTAGGGCTATATTTTTTTTTAAATCATTTCATTGGGGGCTTGTACAACTCATCACAGTACATACATACATACATGCGTCAAGCACATTTGTACATTTGTTGCCATCATCATTCTCAAAACATTTGCTTTCTACTTGAGCCCTTGGTATCAGCTCCTCATTTTCCCTCCTCCCTCCCCGTGCCCCGCACCACTTACGAATAATAATTTATAAATTATTATTATTTTGTCATGCTTTACACTATCTGATGTCTCTCTTCACCCACTTTTCTGTTGTCCGTTCCCCAAGGAGGGGGTTATATGTAGATCCTGGTAATAGGTTCCCTCTTTCTACCCCATCTTCCCACCACCCTCCCGGTATCGCCACTCTCACCACTGGTCCTGAAGGGTTCATCTGTCCTGGATACCCTGTGTTTTTCAGTTCTTATCTGTACCAGTGTACATCCTCTGGTCCAGCTGGATTTGTAAGGTAGAATTGGGATCATGATAGTGGGGGGAAGGAATTTTAAGAACTAGAGCGTTGTATGTTTCATCAATGCTACACTGCACCCCGACTGCTCATCTCCTGCCCACGACCTTTCTGGAAGGGGATGTCCAGATGCCTACAGATGGGCTTTGGCTCCCCACTCCGCACTCCTCCTTATTCTCGATGATAAGATTTTTTGTTCTTTGATGCCTGATCCCTTCAGCACCTTGTGATCACACAGGCTGTGTGCTTCTTCCATGTGGGCTTTGTTGTTTCTCAGCTAGATGGCCACTTGTTTCACCTTCAAGCCTTTAAGACCCCAAACGCTATATCTTTTGATAGCCGGGCACCATTAGCTTTCTTCACCACATTTGCTTATGCACACATTTGTCTTCAGCTATCGTGTCAGGAAGGTGAGCATCATGGAATACCAAGTTAATAGATCAGAGTGTTCTTGCATTGAGGGAGTACTTGAGTGGAGACCCAATGTCCATCTGCGACCTTAATGCTAAGCCTATAAATATATGCACATAGATATATTTCCCCATTATCATATGTAAATATATTTACATATGCACATGCCTGTATTTAGACCTCTATAAGTGTCCTTTGGTAGGGCTATATTTTAATGGTAAAGATCTGGAAGAGTTGTTAGATGCTGTCCAGTCAGTTGCGACTCATAGTGATCCTGTATACAGCAGAACTAAAGACCTCCCCGTCCTGGGCCATCCTCACAGTTGTTCAGTGTTCGAGCCCATGGTCGCAGCATCTTATTGAGGGTCTTCCTCTTTTTCTCTGCCCTGTGGGTTTGTGAGTGAGAGAGAGCGAGCGAGACTCTGATGATCTTATTAAATATAAACATTGACTTATAGTCAGTGTAATCTAAGCTTTGTTCATCAAAATGTGGGATGCAAGCAGCAGCACTGCCTATCTGGAAGCTGGTTAGAAGTGCACATTCTCAGGGTATCTCCCAGGCCAATATAGAGATCTACATTTTAACCAGCACCCCTGGTGATTTATTTCTATGTTGATGTCTTGATCTAAAGGGATTTTAAAAGCTTTTAGGCTTTACCTTATATAAAACATTCTCATTTTTGTTACACAATTTAATTCTCTTTAAAGATTGTTAGAATATATAAAACTGGACTATGATACTGTAAGCAACTGGCCACATGAAACTAGGAAATACAGATTAATGAAAATAAAAACATCAGTTCCTCAGTCTCACTACTAGCTATTTTTCAGTTACTTGTTCTCCTAGTGGCTACTGTAAGGGAGAGCATAGTTAGAGAACAATCCCATCTTCTCAGAGTTCTTCTGGGCAGTCCTGAGGTGCGGACATAAAAGTGTGTGTGTGTGTGTGTGTGTGTTTTGATAACTGACTGGAAAGGTAGATAAACAGCTAGGACTAGAGTTTGCCTCCTGAGTTCTGAGGGGGACTCGGGGTGGGGTAGATATATATCCATTTATTTTCATGCTCATACTAACGTCAGACTTTAAAGAGAAGTAAGCCTTACAACCAAAATGAGAATGTTTCATATAAAATGAGACTAAAGCTTCAACAGTTCCTCCAGACCAGTGCCCTCTGTGTACACAACTCACCTGGGAAGGTCAATACTGTAAAATGTGACCGTTGTTATTAAATTCTCTTCGTCTTCTAGAATTTTGTAGCATTTGCACATCATTTAGTTAAAAAATAGCAAGTACCCAGAGACAAGGGAACTACAAGTGATTTAAAATCGATGGCAAGGAGGGCGCAGGATGCCTGGTCCTGGGGCTTGATCAAGTGCAATGTAGCTTAGAGGTATTATTGAAAACTGAATGAAGGTCAAACATAGTGGGACAAGAGGAAAATTGAGGAAATATAGAGGAAAGAACCAGGAGGCAAAGGACATTTATAGAGGTCTAAATGTAGGCATGTACATAGTAAATATATATAAAATAGGGAAATAGATCTATGTACATATATTTACATGTTAAAGTATTAAGGTAGCAGACGGACATTGGGCCTCTAGTCAAGTACTCCCTCAGTACAAGGACACTTTGTTCTAATAGCCTGGCATTCTATGATGCTCACCTTCCTGACACCATCACTGAAGACCAAATGGGTGCATAAGCAAATGTGAAGAAAGCTGATGGTGTTCAGCTAGCAAAAGATATAGCATCTGGGGTCTTAAAGCTTGAAGATAAACAAGCAGCCATCTAGCTGAGAAGCAACAAAACCGACATGAGAGAAGCACACCAGCCTGTGTGATCATGAGGTGTCGATGGGATCAGGTATCAATGATCCAGAACAAAAAATCATATCAATATGAATGAGGGGTGCAGAGTGGAGACCCAATGCCCATCTGTAGACAATTGGACATCCCCTCACAGAAGGGTCACAAGGAAGAGATGAGCCAGTCGGGGTGCAGTATAGCACCGATGAAACATACAACTTTCCTGTAGTTCTTTAATGCTTCCTCTCCTCCCCCGCACCCCCCAACTATCTTGACCTCAGTTCTACCTTACAAATTGGGCTAGACCAGAGCATGCAACAGATAAGAGCTCACAACACAGGGAATTCAGTACAAATAAACCCCTCAGGACCAATAATGAGAATAGCAATACCAGGAGGGTGGGGGAGAAAGGGGGAATTGATCACAATGATCGACATATAACCCCCTCCCAGGGGGATGGACAACAGAAAAGTGGGTGAAGGGAGACAGCAGTAAAAAGTAGTAATTTATCAATTATCAATGGTTCATGAGGGAGGGTGAGAGAGGGGAGGAAAAAATTAGCTGATACCAAGGGCTCAAGTAGAAAGAAAATATTTTGAAAATGATGATGCCAACAAATGTTCAAATGTGCTTGACATTTGGATTGTGATATATGGGTTGTGATAAGAGTTGTACAGGCCCCCAATAAAATGATTTTTAATAAATAAATGTAAAGTATTAGTTTGAGGGACAGTATGGGATGGATGTAGCATTATAAGTAGATGGTAAATATTGAATATATGTACTAAATAGAATGTGGGCGGGGCTAATATTGCCTTGTATAGATTCCTGACTATGTCACTCGTTTAAAACAGTTGGGACCTAGGGATGGGGGGAAATGAAGGAGATACAGGAACACAACAAAAGTAGTCAAGATCCTGTTACAACCTGGTCTGTACTGGATTCCTTGGCCAGCACAGATAATCTCAACTAGTCCCTGCTAGCAGGAGGGAAGGCAGACCCAGAGGGAGAAGGGAAGGTGGAGGGGCTTGAGGAGAGTGGCATAGTTCAGCCCCTCACCTCTGGGCATCAGGATTTACCTCTATCTGAAAATATCATGACTGTTCTTACTTGATTCTCTCAGTCTTCCCAAAAAGTTCAAATAATTATATTTGACATTCTCATTTTGGTGTAAGCATGATACAATTTTCAAAGATTACAAAATTTAAAAGGGAACGAACATCAGAATTTAAGGTGAATGGATTCATTGGATCGTATAAGTTATGGGAAAAAAAACACCCCAAAACAACAGTAATAATAATATATTAAGGGTTCAGGAGAGTAGTGTTGGGGAGGGAGGGGATAAAAGGGAACTGACATCAAGGAGTTCAAGTAAAAAGAAAATGGATCGTAGATGATCATGGTAACAATTTTAGAACTATGCCTGATCTGTTGGAATGATGGATTATAATAATGTCTGTAAGAGTTTCCAGTAAGTTAAAAAAAAAAATTTTGGTATATGGTAGCACATAGAGGATTAATTAATTCAGAATGAAAACTGCAGGAGGACTTAGGCATTTTGATAGCGCTGGTTCCCCAGTTATATGTTGGACACCTTTGTTATCAGCATCATTTCTGGAGTGGCAGGGGCTTCCTGAAAGGGCTTGGTTTCAGCAGTGGTACTGGAGATTATTTTGGTTCTTTATCAACTTTTTCCCATATTAGTTTTGGACATTTTCAGATGTTGCAGGGGAGTGTGTGGGGTGTGGTGCCATCACAATTTCTTTACAGTTTCTCTTTGTTCTAACAGGGCTTTGTACTTTGCATGTTACTCCAAAGCCAAAGAGCAGTTTAATGGCATTTTCGTGCCGAATAGCAATATTGTGCATATTTTCTCCGCGGGCTCTGCAGGTATGTCACCCTCATGAGTGGAGAGAAGAGTTCTCATTTTCCGGAAAGCTTGTGTTGTGCCCACTAGCTTGTTTTTAAAGTGATACCTGCTTCTTTGGCACTTAAAATTGTTTTGTAAAGCTTTATATTAGAACTGATACATGTGTCCTTGTGCCATTTGAAACTTAGTTCCGGTTTCTTTGACCACTAAGGCTTATTCCATGAAAAATGTACATGCTATTAGCGTTATGTTCCTTTAAAGGAATATTAATGCTTTTTGTTCCACGTCCCAAAGCAGAGCAGATTTCTTCATAGTCGTGCCCCACCCCACTTCCATGTCCACCTCATCCTGGCCACACACAGAACCCTTCTGGATGATTTATTCAGGATGTGTAGTTGAACTTCTTCAGTAGGATCAGCAGCTGATCGATCAGGTAGCCCTTGCTCTCTCTTCATGGGGCTGTTTCCCTCGCAAAAGAACCAGTTGAATTTGTAGCTTTCTAGAGTGAAAGCTAGATGATCTTTTATATATACTTTTGTGTCCGTGTAAATAGAAAGATGCTGTAGAGACCTTAAATTGGCATTTTATGAAGGCTCTAGGCCTGCCGGCCCGTAAGGTATCTCCTGTTTTGCTAGTCTTAGTCGGTCCAAACGAAAGCACTCCCTTTATAGATGGTAAGGGCTGACCCAGAGTAGACAGTGTGTTAGCAGAATGGCGGGCTTTTCTGCTTGCTATGGAGGGGATACAGAGCTTCAAAACAGACTGGTTTTCATTTATTCCTTACTTCATAGGCCAGTAATGAGTTAGCTGTAGCTGAAAAATGTTAATCAGCGTTGTAACTTTTGCAGAAATAATTTAGAAGAATCCCCTGGGATATAAAGCAGACCTGAAGGGAATTTTTGAAACTCAGTCTTCCTAATATCTAATTATTTTACATACGTGGAGGTGTGGCATTGGCAGAGTCAGCCCAGCCCCACCGCACTGCAGTGTCTTGGTGGAGTTGGAATCTCAGGCAGTGTTAACATGGAGACTCTTACTTTAACCAGAGAATGGCACCTATTAGCGGAGCAGGCTTAAAACTGCAGTTGTCATCAGTGATTAGGCAAGTATTCCAGTTTCTAGATTCTGTTCCAGTAAATGGAGACTTAGTTCCTAAAACGCATTATTTCTGGACCTGAATTTTATAAATTGAGTTTTAGGATAGTTCCGTAGTTACCACAGACATCACCTAGGTTGTGAAGGTGAGACAGGGATCTAGAAAGTTGCAGCAAGGTTTCTTTTAGCCCCAACATTACCAATTTCGTGTTGGTATATAACTTTAGGTATAAATTGCAACTGCTTCCTACTGCCCGTTCTTATTGTGAAAGCTTCAAAGTTTATCTTGTATGGACAGCTTTTTAAAGCACGGACCATAGATAATGCTAACTTGTTTGTGTTTCTTTCTTTCTTTCAGCTTTCGTCACAAATTCCTTAATGAATCCTATATGGATGGTTAAAACCCGGATGCAGCTAGAACAGAAGTAAGCTATTCATTGTTTCCATGCCCACTTTCCTAGATAGAGGAGGAATTCTTAGGGGGTTGTCTTCCTCCCATTCCAGCTGAGGAGTCTCAGCCCTCCTCAGCCTTTCTCTTCCTTGAATGTCAGCATGTGTAGAACTTCTTTTGTTTTGAGCTTTGTGCTGCAGACCACAGTGGGGAGACAGGGCCAGCCTAGGAGCGCGCATGCCCTGGCATTTCCAAACGTGACTCCATTGGGCACTGTCAGCATGCCCCTCGGAGGGAAATATGCCTGGCTTGCTTCCGTGTTTCCCCACTAGGGAAATAGCAGGGAGGGAGACACAGGCCCATCTGACAGGAGCTGCAGCCCAGTGGGGAGGACAGAATGTAAGAAAACAATTAGAGCCTGCTCTAAAAGGGACCCAGGGTGCAACAGGACTGTGGGGCATCGCTAATACAGTCGGTAGGTGGCTGGTGGCTAGTTGCTCCATGAACAACCGATTCCTTTGCTGTAAGATCAGAACTGGATGGGTCCCAGCTACCTTTACTGTATATTTTGATCAGAGATCCTCCATCTTGATTAAGTGGTGGGAAAATATATAACAGACTTTAAAATTCTTATGGAATCCAGATTTCTGGGTATGTGGAGGCTAAATAAACCCCTAAGAACTATTGCTGTGAGAGAATCTTTAAACCTTGATCCAAAACGAGCTCTCGAAGTCTTCTTTAAACCAAATAATAGTTTATCAGCTAGTAAAGAATGTCTGCCTTGAGCGTTCTATTCTTTTAAGAACTACCTACCCAGGGGAGTCTGGGAGAAATGGGGAGCCAGTAACAGTACGTACAATAATGTTCTAAAGTGGATTGTGGTGGTGATTGCACAATTCTTTTAAAAATATTTTCAAACATTGTATGGTATGTGAATTCTGTATCAATGAACTGCCACCAAGTCAATTCAAGGATTCTCTACCTGAGATCACATTGAGGACCGTAGAGAGGACAGGGTGCGGGGAGTTTGTTGGGGAGGAAGCACTCTGAAAAGGAGGGTCAGAATTCAGTTTTACAACTCAAGAATGCAATCAGTATTACCGAATTGTACATGTGGAAATTGTTCTGTATATTCTCAAGAAGTAAAATAAAAAATTTTAACTTAGAAATGAAAGGGTATGCACAGTAGAGAAAGTTAAAATCATGAGGCACCGAGATCACCAGCGATCATCAGGAGGCGCGTGTGGGTGGAGCGCACCAGGCGTCTGTGCCTGCGCTGGAGAAAAAGAAGCTGGGAAAGCCAGTGGGGACCCAATCCTGAAAGGGGCGGGGCTTGCAGAGTAGACTGGGCTCTGTGTCATAGAGACTGTAAGAAGCGATTGGATGGGCAGTGTTACCCCAGGGAACTCTCGGCTAGCCCTGGAGACCATTTTGTTTGTCGCAAGTTGGGTGAGGTGCTAGTGGCATCTTGTAGAAGTCGGAGACCCTGCTAAACAGCCTGCCTTGACAGCAGGGAGGCCTCTGGCCCCAGGGTACAGGTCCAGGGGAGTGATCTGAACGTGATTTGAAAGGTCAGTTCTGCTGTGGAGTATGGCTTCTAGAAGAGAGGGCAGGATACTCCTGGAGGCCGGCTGAGCGTGCAGAGGTGATGGGCTGAAGGACGATAGCTTCACAGGAGGCTGTTAGCTTGTGAGCAGTGTCAACAGCCCGTCACCTGGCACCAGGCAGTGGAGCAACCAGTTTTCTGGTTTTCATTGTTGCTTGGTACCATTGTCTCAGTTCTCTAACACTGCCCAGTCCTGCACCAATATCATGATCGTCATGTTGCAGCCACTGTGTCAATATTATCAAGGGTCTTCCTCTTTTTTACTGCCTCCCCCCCTTCTAAGGAGCATTCTGTCTGTACTTCTTCCAAGACAGATTTGTTTATTCTTTTGGCAGTCCACAGTACTTTGAATATAACAGAAGCCATATGACCATATAGCCCATATATAAATAAAACTATATTAGTAATTTTAGCTGGGGCCCCTTGTGGTGCAGGGGAAGGTCTGAAGTTCAAACCACCACGGGAGAAAAACAGGGCTTTCTGCTCCTACCGGGGCAGTCCTACCCTGTCCTGTAGATAGGCTCACCGTGAGTCAGAATTGACTCAATAGCAGCGAGAGGATTAGTTGTTTTATAATCTGTTTGGCATTTATAATGATATTTGTTATAAAATCATGAAATAAATAGCCTAAAAGTTCATAATTTTGAAAGAGTGCCAATATGCTCTCCACCCTGTCAGAACTTAGGTGACTGTAGCTTTAGTATTTCCTAAGCATATTTTTGTCATTCCAAACTAGCTGTCGCTGAGTCAGTTCTCACTCAGTGACCCTCTAGGACAGAGGGGAACTGCTCCCTAGGGTTGACAAGGCTGTACATTTTTACAAGAGAGAGCTACCCCGTCTTTCTCCCACAGAACGGCTGGTGGATTTGAGCTGCTAACCTTGCAGTTAGCAACTCCACGTGTATCCCACTGTACCACCAGTTCTCTTTTATTAATTGTGATTAATCTTCCCAAATAATCTCACCCTGCTTAGAGCATTTCCCTGTAGTTCACTAACTCATAACCATTTTCAGCCTTGTGTGTGCACAGGGTGTAGCTGTGACTCCTGTTTTTAGATATTTAGATTCTTTTCATGACGTGTATCACTGTTACTTCCTGTGATGATTATCTTTTCAAAATTAGATCAAAGGCTATGAACATTTTCTGGCATCTCTTGATACAGATAGACTTAACTCCTTGTGGACCAGCCAAGTGTCATGCCTCCCCTGGGCCAGGATGACACAGGTCACCTGTTGTGGAACTTGTCTGCTCCTGAGAGTCACCGGGTGTCGAGCATGCAGTCACGCACTGGCTGGTGCACGCACTAACAGACCTGTCGTTGACCTTGTGCAGAGTCCGAGGCTCCAAGCAGATGAATACACTCCAGTGTGCGCGCTATGTTTACCAGTCAGAGGGCATCCGTGGCTTCTACAGAGGGTTAACGGCCTCCTATGCTGGCATCTCAGAAACCATCATCTGTTTTGCTATTTATGAAAGTTTAAAGAAACATCTGAAAGAAGCTCCTTTCACCTCTTCTACAAACGGGACTGAGAAAGAGTCCACAAATTTCTTTGGACTTATGGCAGCTGCTGCTATTTCGAAGGGGTTTGCCGCCTGTATTGCCTACCCTCACGGTACGTTGTGCCTTTTCTCTCTGAGCCGGGAGAGAGCTGGTGGGTCTGGGTGAGTTGAACTTCTGTAGGCCAGATCCTGCAGGTAAGGCCTGGGGTCCACATGTACATGGTGTGCAGGCGTAAACATCCAGCTGTCAGCCCACC